GACTGTATCCAGTAGACTGGCGCTCCCAGCACCTGCACCGGTACCAAAGCTTCTGCTCGAACCCTGTCGGCTGGAACTACGTTTGCTACTAACGCTGTTGTGACCGGATGTTTCGGGGCGGGCCTTTTCAACATCTAGAATGGAGATTGAGGCTTCATGTTCGTCTGGTGGGGGGCCCAGTGCATCCCATGCCTTTTTCGTATTGATTGTCATTTCGGATGCATGGAATCCTTGCAAACTTTTTTCTCCATTAAAAATGGAAGACCCACTCGATTGATCCCATGGCATATCGCCTAGACTGTGGGCGCGAGCGTTCGACAGGGACGGCGGCTGTGCTGCAAGAGCAACGTCCTCCTTGCTCGGGGTTCCATCCAAAGAGATGACCTTTGGTGGAAGACCTTTGCTACTGGTAGCTGTAGAGTGTCGTCTTGATGATGAAGCCTGCGCACTTTTGGTTCGTTTGGGAATATTTTTTGTGCCACTGCTTGCGAACATGGCTGCAGCATCTACATTGAGCCTTTTGCCTTTTGCATCTCTCCTTGGAGTCACAAATGCTGGCAATTGCGCAGCTCCCTGATTACCTCGCAAATCTGCTGTACTCAAAACTTTTTTGCCCTTGGACCGTGGGGTGGCTAGAGCCCCCGCCAGAGGAGTCACTTTAATATTGTTTTCTTCGTCTCCTACTTTTTTGGAGGTTGTCAGTCGATGATTCCCAAGGTCGTCATGCGAAAGGGAGCGGGAGGGTTTTTGCTTATTGTTGGTCGTGCCGTGGGCAGAAGCTACCTTTCGATTGACAGCAGCATGGGCTTTGGTTCCTGGCTGAAAGCCAAAAGGGGAATGGAGGGAGCTGGCTCCCTGATCCGCCGCCTTGAGAGCATGATTTTTCTGTCTAGACTTGGACAATTCACTTCTGCCTTTCAGGATTGATTTTCTCACTTCTGCCTTGTCCAGCAGCTTGGCTTCTGGGAGGTCAGCCGATGCCAGAAGCTGATTATCGGTACGAAAGCTGGCCGCAGAAAAACTACCAGAACTAGCGAATGCTTCTCCCTGGAATTCTCCAGCTGGGGTATCTCCAACCATTAATCTGCAATTTTCATTCAGTCTGCTTCCAGCTCCATTTATAATTGGTTCCTCGTCTTGCCCGGCAACCATTGGGTGCTTGTTGTCATGACCTGCGTCACCGGACCCTGTGGGAATATTGGCATCATCGAACCCGTCGTCCAAGGAAGGGTCTGCCTCGTCTGACATGGTACCATTCGAAGCAAAGCCAGCACTGCTTTCTCAGCTTAGCGTTGATGGATAGTAAGAGCTGTTATCATTCAGATTGGCAGAGTTAAAAGACATCTACATGTACAATAATAAGCTTCCAAGCAACAAATCAATAGACACATCAAGAGAAGCGAAGAGTTGACGCAGAGAAAGTTCTGTGCGGCTTCTTGGTCACACTGGGTGCTCGGGGGCTCTATTTCGGCCACGAGCCGCGCATGACTTTCTCAACAATCTCCATCAGGGTTTCTGTCCGTTGCCTAGATTTAACTCGAAGAAATACATCGAGAAGCCATCCAGGGAGAGGAACGCCAAGGTCACGAAGCCTGATTGATGAGCGCAGAGTGCAAAGGAGGCTTAGTTCTTGCTCAGAAGCTGATTGAGATTCCAAGATGGTGCGCTGATGAGTATTAATAAGCTCCTCCAATCTCCATTACTTTTGCAGTCTAGTTTGCAGAACGAGCAACTGAAGGTAGTACTTTAATGATTGCCGCTCACAATCGGATACCAGTACCCCGGACCCCATGAGCGAGCTAGTTGACAACGGGAGAGTTGATAAGCCCAGCAGCTAACTTAGTCTTCCTGTCTACAGGTAACTCCTGCTCTCTGTTTTCAAAGAGCAGCCCAAAGACGACAAAACCCGTTTACACGATCGCCGCCCACAATCGGATACCCCGGGCCCCATGAGCTACTTGACAATGGGAGGGTTGATGAGCCCTGAAAACAACTTAGTGTACCTGTCTAACAAAGTCCTGCTCTCTGTTTTCAAAGAGCGCCCCAAAGACGACACTACCGTACAACATGCACGATAACATTCGCGAAAAGATCCCGGTTCATCAAGCATGATACAGCTTGATACGATGTCTTTGGCCAGGTAACACGCCAACGAAAGAACTGTATCGGTCATGAATTCAAGGCTGAGTTCCACGCTACACGGATGACTGTTACCGTACGTTTGGTACCTACCACAGAGCTGGCGAGGAAGCCAAACTTCTAATTCTTGGATGCCTGGTGCTTCCTTTCGTGGTCAACCAGTGCCGGGTGTTTAGAGGTGGGCACAATTAATTGTCTGTACAGTCGTACCGGTACCCGGGTGAAACGAGTTTATGTACGATTCGATTCCCATTTCCCATTCCCAAGGTAGACCTTTTTCATTCTTAAATCTTCGTTCCCCACGTTTGGGTCAATGCCTCCATCATGCCTGCCTCCACTATTCTCTGGTTTTCCTTGTCTATCGTTGTTTGATTGCCACCCGACCTCGACCCACTCATCACTCTTCACTCATCACTCTTCACTTTATCAACAACAATCAACGTCAACAAAACAATCATACCCAACACTCATCAAGAACCAACCATGACAGTACTCATCAGGGACACCGAGGCCGTCGCCATGTTGTCTCGCATGCCAGGAGCAGATGGATACTGTCGGAAGTTTGATGAGTTGTACCGCATCGAAGAACGACTGCATTCTGGCGCTTATGGTACAGTCTACCGCGTGACTGA